AATGATATAATACCAACAGGCATATATTCTTTATCCTCTGCAAAAAATTACTTTGGCTTATGAAGGAGTTTTGACCGGCTCTGGCAGACTATTAGCTATTAGAAGCAACACAATAGCCATTGAGTGGAGTTGGCTTACGAAGGAGTTTTCGACTGGCTCTGGCAGACTTAAGCTATTAGAAGCAACACAATAGCCATTGAGTGGAGGCAAATTATATGACCAAAAAAAAAATCTAAATGAAATAAATTTACCGTTTAACACTTTTTAAATAAATTGCAGGTTCTGGTATGGCTTCTCAAGCACAAGCCAGTGTTTCAGGCAATAGTCTTGATTTAATGTAGGGAGTGTTTCAATAAATTCACCGCATAATACCATTTTGATTTGTAGTCGCTTCCGTAAAATATTGGGTGACTTTCCGTCATTTTGGGAGAAAGTCAATGTAAGGCAATAAATTCATAAAACAGATTCAACCAATAGTACCTTACTTCAAATAAATGGTTTGGGTTCTTGAGTCCTCCAATTTATTTGAAGAAAAGAATCTGGGATGAGTGTGTGGCCAAAGGGGGTTTTGTCAAGTCACAGTCATTCTACATCGGACCGATAAGAGAGATTCCAAGAAGTCCCCTCGACCGTCACTCTCGGGTCATTTGGAGAATTTAAAAAGGAAGTTGGGGATTTTCATGTTTGGTGCGCGTGTGTACGAGTGTGTCATTATTAATAATGTACCCTGCCTGAGTCACTGCTCTGTGGTCTTCAGAAGTATGGCAGATTGAAAACAATGTAATGTAATACAAAGTGGTCTCAGGGGTGTTTTAATCGTGTGTGTGTGTGTGTGTGTGTGTGTGTGTGTGTGTGTGTGTGTGTGTGTGTGAGTCCTCCAATTTATTTGAAGAAAAGAATCGTTATTTTAATGAAGAGAGTCAATCAATCCCTTTGAAATAAAACTTTGCTTGTCATACGTTTTTGACTGAAAGCTGCTTGAGTAAAATATTTAAATGCCTTACTTCAAATCAATACCAGGATACTGGTGTGGTTTGCCGAGTAGCGGCCATGAATTGAGAAAATGATTATGGTGTTGCTATTAAAATGATGGTGAATATTCGGCTATCGTGAATAATCCTCTTTTGGGGGGAAAAAAGACAACATTTATCACGTTGTACAATCAGCGCGCAGGGATTTTTCCATCAGCTTGAGTCAACGCAATAAGGCTGCTTTTGTTCCCGCTCGCTATCGACTCCTCTCGGAACTGAGGAGGTTTGCTGCAAACTGAACGAGATGCTATCGCAGACGTTCACCGGAGACCAGCCGGGAAACGCAACGTCGCGCGTGGACACGCACACTCGGAAATCTGATCACATATCTGCGGGTGCGTGGTTGATATCAGCTTCCAACAGGGGGTGGGGTCTCGGTGTGTTAGCCGCCTCTTGGGGGGCATCGCATTTTAGGGCCTTTTGATGAGCGATGGAGGCGATAATCCATTTATACATGTGTGGTATGGGTTGCAGTGGAGGCCATTATTTGAGGAAATACCGTGGCGTGCATTCTGTCTGAACACAACGGCTCAATCTCTCAAGTGTGTTCAATACGGGTGAGGCGGAAAACGCAGCCGAGGTCGATCCGTTGCGCTTCCCGTCGTCGGCAAATCGAGACATTAGCCGAGGCTCGTGCGTGACCTGCTGGTGAACCGCGCCGCTTGGGACCCCCCTCCGGCTTCACGTCGCCAATGCGGCATGAGCTCCAACGCCATTGCTTTGAGGAACAGCAGCGCGGTGCATATGATATGAAGTTATTGATCCATAAATTAAGGGTGATCAGTGATGTAGAATAGATCCTATGTGGAAACAGATGTTATAGGACGGATCATTTCAGCCACGGAGAAGGTGTCTATTTGTGGTGCGGTATTTATTTGTCGATGAGGAAAAGTTGTTTGGATTTTTCACACCTGGATGCTTTCCATGTCAAATGCTTGGATTTGTGTCTACTTATAGTGCGCATTTGTGAGGAATTAAATTTAAAAGAAATTTTGGATTGTAGAGGGATGGAAGATACCCGGGAAATATACGTGGACATTTCTATGGGGATATAAACTGGGGGGGGGATATAAACTGGGGATTTCAAATTTGGAAATATTCCAAATTTGAAATTATCCATTGGATTTAATTTGGACTATTTTTTTTTCACATTAGAATGATAAAAGTTAAAGTTGTATGATTGTATACACGAAATTCATGGCGGGTGAGTCTCTAGTATAATGGATTAATCGTTGTACGTTGAACAGTGTGTTGTATTTAAATGAGGCTTAGTTAAAAATCAACGGGTATTATATGAACTCATTCAGGAACAGCCAAGTCTAGACCAAGTCTGAAAAGACGTTTAAAAACGTCTTTGGGAGTGAATGAGTTCAGGTATATGTATTGTTGCATCTCCCTCCAGACGCGACGCGACGCGGATCAAGATGGAGAATGAAATGGACGTCCCAGCGTGGGAGTCGCAGCCTGACACGAGCGTCTTTGTGCCTCGGCGTGTCACTTCCTGGGAAGAGAATGGAGCGGGAAGCCAGCGGAAGCGCAAAGCACACCTCCACAGAGAGGCCTTTTCTTTCGAAAAATGGTTTGTATGTGTGAGTGTGTGTGGTGATGATATTTAGCATCAAAAAGCCTCTTTTAGGGTTTGGCCTTTTGTGAAAGGGCTTCAAAGGGGGGGGGACAATATACTGGAAGGGTGAAAAGTAACTTGGCACTGGAAATTGCATATAGAATTTTAGTATCACTTATTTAATGATGAAAACATTTTTTTTTATTTTACAGAGACGACAATAATGGGAATTTCTTACAGTCTTATTTCTTATTTTTGTTCAGGAGTGATCAATGGTAACAGTTTAGTTGTGTGTGTGTGTGTGTGTGTGTGTGTGTGTGTGTGTGTGTGTGTGTGTGGTTATTGGCACGGAGATGACTAAACAGCTCATTTTACTGGAAGCGGCTCACGATTAGCACACGTTTACACACACATACTGACACAAGCTTCCCTCTTACCCTCATTTTGACCCCCTTTTCAGTTCGGTCCATCGTCAATGTGACCCTTACATCCTGTTCTGGTCAAATTCAGACACGGACACGAGGAGGAGATGGTTCACTTGCTAGCAAATCAAGTTGGCTTTGTTCAGACCCACAAAGGCACCAAATGTCCTTTCTTAAATATGCCTACGGGTCTGCAAAAAATACCAAAACTCAGTCTTGCCCGCCTCTGCGTAGATTTATACTGCGCGTCGCGATGGAATTGCACTGGCCACGAGTTCAGAGCATCACACATCGTGAAACAATCACATAGCTTAGCTTCTTGCTAACAAACAATGCAGAATGCCATTGACGGGCTAACAAATACCATTAGTTAAGCAGCAGGTAGTTGAACACAGAGGAACAACACATGTCGACAAATGATATAATACCAACAGGCATATATTCTTTATCCTCTGCAAAAAATTACTTTGGCTTATGAAGGAGTTTTGACCGGCTCTGGCAGACTATTAGCTATTAGAAGCAACACAATAGCCATTGAGTGGAGGCAAATAATGTGACCAAAAAAAATCTAAATGAAATAA